TGTGTGTGTGTGTGTGTGTGTGTGTGTGTGTGTGTGTGTGTGTGTGTTTTCTACCCACTCAGTGTTTGCTGGTGCTGGAGCGGCTGTGTGTGTGGGTCTCCGGCGGTGAGGAGCTGTGTGTGTGGAACAAAGACTTCCAGCTGCAGTGTCAAACACAGAACCACAGCGACACCGGTGAGCAGAAACAACTGTCACAATAAACCTCTTGTGTGGTTATTGTTGCACCAACTAATCTCACACCCAGTTTGCACACAAACTGATTAATTGTCACTCAGTTTTTGGCTTTTTTCAGGAATAACTGCTTTGATAGAGCTGCCCAAGAACTGCATAGCTGCTGCTGTGGATAAAGAGATGGGTAAGAGACCGGATTGATGCTGAATATGTGCAATAAGATGAGAACGACGTGGCTTTAAAGGTATTATATGTAGCAATTTACATATTAATCGCTTTGTATTCGGGATGTCCTGACCAAGTTTATTTTGTCTGCATGCAAGCTGCTCCTTAAGTTTTTTTTCTTTTTTTTTTTTAAATTATTGTTTTGTAAATAATGCTTGCTACGTTATCGCTAGCAAAAGGCTATCTGAGTGGATGTGTTAGCTAGCGAGCTTACTAAATTACTTCACCAGCTAACACGATCCATGATACTAACTTATTTATTGTGACAAACGGTGTTGAACGGTACAAAGTAAACGTGTGTAATTCGTAATTTCTTTCTAATAACCAAGAGCGACAGCGGCGCCCAAGTAGCTAACTGCAACCTAAGCTAAGTTTAGCCAGCTAGCTGTGAAATAGCTACGTGGCATAGATCTGACGTTTATAACGTTAGCTAATAAAGTCATTAGCCAAAGGCAAGCTAGTTAGCATCCTGGAACCAAAGGTCCAAATAAAATATTGGAACATTACAGATGGGAGCATTTTTTAAATGCGATATATGATTGTAATGTTATGTCATGACACTGTTTTGGCCGGTGCCCAGGATGCTCACTAGCGCCGACAACAGGATGCTAACTGCAGTTCACTTAACGCCCACCGGTGTCAACGCTAACAATGATTCCACAGAGCACCTTTAAAGAACATTGACCATTATTGTTTCTGCAGTGATCTACAGGCTGACGGTCTCCACTGATTCCTCCATGTCGGTGGCTGAGATCCGCCGTCTGTCCAACCATCAGGACAGGATTCGAGCTCTTATCAACGTCAATGGTCAGTCTGTCAGGAAACTCTGACTCATCGATGACAATCAAAGAGCAAACCTGCATTCCATTTTTTGAGATGCTGAGAAACTGCATGTCCCTTTGTTTCACATGACTTAAGTTCCATGTCTTCCTCAGACGGGCTCTTCGCCAGCGGCTCCCATGCCGGCGAGTTGATCTTATGGGATGCAATTGATTGGAACATCCTGGGCTACGAGCACATCCTGTGGGAGGAGTCACAAGCCTGCACTCAGGCCGAAATACGACTGGCTGCTCCCAAACCCAGCGAGATGTCAATTCAGCATCTGACCACCAACGGAAGGGTGAGGAAGACGGCACGAGCGGATGTCGTGTGTCGTTCAAAACTGTATTTTTGAATCCATAACAAAATGTAATGTTTGTGTTTTTTGCAGCACATCCTTGCAGCTGTGGGCAGCGGCCTGTATGTGTACAGCATTCTGACCAAGACGGTGGTGGCCTACAGGAAGGTTGCCCATGACTCTAATGTCTTACACACCATGCTGTTATCTGAAAGGTGAGGTATCAGTTCCTGTCCAAACAGAATACTACAGGAGGGCTGCAGTATGATTCACAGATAGTTAACGGTCTCTTTAGATGAATATTTGATGAATAAGAAGAATGAGCAGTTAGTAATTGATTCATATTTATTAGTAAAAAAAATTGGGAGAAATCCTTTGAAAATACTAGTGTTTAAAAATACAAAACAAGGCAAAACACAGAGCTATAGCTCCACCTAGTGGAAAAGTAATGCAACTGAAGAAATCAAAACATTACAGACTGGGTCTACTCTACCAAATAGTCCAAGAGACTTGTAATATATCTCTATGGGCTTTTAGAAATGTTCACATGTCATTGACAAAGCCAGCCAAGATGATGCACTTTAGGACACATTCGTGTACACACTTGCTAAAAGAATGTGGACATATGAGGACCAGAACACCTCTGAATATGGACTGAACAATCAGTCCTCAATGCGTCTTGGCTGTCCTCCGACCCATACGTAGAGCTGTCCTCCCACCTGTACGTACAGCTGTCCTCCGACCCGTACGTAGAGCTGTCCTCCCACCCGTACGTAGAGCTGTCCTCCCACCCGTACGTAGAGCTGTCCTCTCACCCGCACGTAGAGCTGTCCTCTCACCCGCACGTAGAGCTGCCCTCCCACCCGTACGTAGAGCTGTCCTCCCACCCGTACGTAGAGCTGTCCTCCCACCCGTACGTAGAGCTGTCCTCTCACCCGCACGTAGAGCTGTCCTCTCACCCGCACGTAGAGCTGTCCTCTCACCCGCACGTAGAGCTGTCCTCTCACCCGTACGTAGAGCTGTCCTCTTGTAATCAGATCGTCTCTGTTTCAGCGAGCTGATATCGTGCTCTGAGGACGGCAGTGTGAGGATGTGGGAGATCCAAGACCTGCCTTTACCTGGTGAACCAGCCTCTCCAGGTAACACACACACAACAGGACACACACTTCAACATGTAACATGCTTGAATGTCACACTGCTGATAGGATGGTATGTAGTTCACATTTGCAGAAGAAGTAGGCCATCGTCCCATCTCCTCCTGTGGATTTGCCACCTTAAGAAACATAAGTATGAATCAGAAAGTTCAAAGACTGACAGAAAATTGCCTGCACTCAACTCCTGTGTGATTGTGTAGATGTGCGGGCGGCGTGGAGGTGCAGTCATGCAGTCCAGATGTGGTATTGTGTATATCAAAGGAGAGAGTACTGCACCAGCACTCAGAGAGGCTGTGTTTTCTAATTAAGTGGTCTGAAGCCGAGTGTGTGTCGGTGAGGTCATGCTGCCTTTGATGGTCTCGCTCTCTGCAGTCGGTGTAGAGCTGCAGTGGCTCTGAATGGATCTCGGCTGGAGAGGCTGCATCACTTGCTGATCACTTATCCATCGTTTGTTTGTTGTGTCTCCAGGAATCAATGACTTGCATCTCCTGTGGTCAGGAAACGTTGTGTATTTCCCATAATTGTGGCATTGTGGAAGCTTTGTTACGGATTTATTCTACTGTAGTTCTACTCTGTTTGGGTTTCAACTCATTGTTCAGCCCACAGCTCCACTGTTCTGGTTCCCTCTCACTGCTCATATGGAAGCGTTGGGCTGCAGCAGGACGTTGTGTTCAGAGAAAAAGATTAAACTGTTCTTTAGCTGCTCCGTAGCAGACAGACACAGTTAGAGACTATCTGGTGAACATTGTGGAGGAATTAGCAGCTAAAGAGTCAGACATCTCCCTCAGGAGGTGGTGGAGACCAACTTACAGGTGACACAAACTCACTGCTGGATGTGTAAATAAACAACTGAACAGGTGATGAAATGTCCTCCAGGTTTAAAGATAAACACGATTTATAAATGAGATTAAAAACATGAACTTCTTAATCTGATTGAACTTGAACGAAGATGAAGAACACGTTTACACACATTAGAGGATTTTCTCCTCAAATGATGTGAAACTGCTGTTTTTAGCAGATCCTACCTGAATGTACAGAAATATGTATCATTGTGTTTATGCAGTAACCATGTAGGTAACAAACACATTGAGCACCAGATCATCTGTACTGTTTCTGTCTTTTTTAAATACATGTTTCTGAATATGAGACTTCCTCTCCGTCCATCACGTCAGGGTTCTTTGGAATGTGGTCTTTCGGCCGGTCGAACAAACAGGCCGGTGTTCCGTCAAAGAAGGTCACGGACGTCCCAAACATCCGGACGCTGGAGCTGACGGGTGATCTGATCGGCCACTCGGGGGCAGTCCAGGTATGATTTATGAAGTCTGATCTTATGTTCCACTTCAAAACGCTGTCACAACAGCGCTTCAACGATCCATTTTCTTTCTCTGCCGCTCGTGCCAGATGTTTGTGAGCTTCAGGGAGAACGGTTTGGTCACCTGCTCGACGGACCACCTGCTGATTCTGTGGAAGAACGGAGAGAGGCAATCGCACCTCCGCAGCCTGGCACTGTTCCACAAACTGGAGGAGAATGGAGGACTCTGACCTTTAACCCTTTAAACAAGCAGAGGCGTGAAGCTGTCGGGTGACGTTGGTCTCAAATCAGTTTCATTGACTGTAATGATTGTTTGTTTGTGTTGCTTTTAATAATAATGTAATTGTTGTTGTTTGCCTTATGACCGAAAGTATTTAACTTAAATTTAAAAATAAATAAATCAGTAAATACCTCACATAAAAACACATTGTTGTAATATTTTTATAGCGTGTGAAGTCAGACAGTCAAATGCTGAGCAGGTATGTTATTGGCTGCTAGGCAAGCGTTAGCTAGGCTGCCGGTTAGCTTAGCATAGAGACTGTAAACATGGGGAAACAGCTAGCTATCATCACATCTACAACTCACTAATTAATATCTTGTCACATTCCTTCAGTAAAACCTCAATGTAGGGCTGAAGGCAACCGACGAGTTCAAAGCTTCATTAATAACTCCGACATTCAAATTCTAAATTAACATTTAAATACTGCTTCAATCCACATGTGGTTGTGTTGAGCCTTTCATAAACCGTTACTGCTTTCTGCACACAGACAGAGGCAACACTGACAAGTTAAATTCATTAAAGAAAGTTTATTTGATAAAAACAAAAAAAAGACAAACTAATTTAATACAACGAATCACTTTATTCAAACTAATGATTTTGTTTATTTGGGTGATGACGTCGTTAAAAAAGACATTCGTTGCAGCCCGACCCTCACTTGTAGTTTTCATGTCTCCGGTTAAACAAAGAATTCATAAAGTTGTAATTGGTGAGCTTCAGAGGGACAGAGCTCGCTGTCCATCTCCTGGTTGTCGTCTTATATTTACCGGACAGACATGAGAGCTGTTGATCTTCTGATCCAATTCTTTAATCAGAAAGAAAATAAGTGTTTATCCCAAAATGTCAAACTACTCCTTGAACTTAGTCGCTGCCATTCAGGTAACAACTTCAATTACGGAGCGCTTTAATCGTCTCTGACGGTACATTTCTGTATTTGACAAACATTAAAATAAGACCTCGTTTACCGGAGAGCAAACTCTTCAAACACTCTTGATGGAAATCTTTTCACAGGATATTCATGTGGCAGTAAAATCCCTCAAAACACACGTTACAGTTCTCATGGCCGGTGATTGTTTTTGTTCTTTGAAAAATAATTTGTACCGCATACAACACTCTAATTATTGTTCTGTTTCATAAATGATAGAAAAACAACACAGGATTGGCACGCAGCCACGGCCGTCAGTGTCTGAGAGGAAGGAGGAGTCACTCAGTGATGGAGGCTCATCGTTACGTAACGAGCAGTTATACAACGTGGCGGCGCCTCAGTCGACTCGCAGCGACCGGCTGTCATCTGGTCTGAGTGATGTCATCACGCTCCACTGACGCTCACAGGAAACAATGAAGGCGTGTGAATCTGAAATCATTAAGTCTTCGTTGTCGACGAGCAAAACTATCTCATGAGCAGTGATGACACATTCAGGGGCGGAGCCACATTTTCAAGTCACTTTTTTAAAAAATAATTTTGGAAAACAAGCAAATTACGTAAAATGCAAAGCAAAAATGATACATTTGGTGAGTATTTACAAGAACAGCAGGTACATTAGGTAGTTCTTTACAGTGTATTGCAACAATAGCAGACCTAAACACTAACGTGACACGATTAAGGCGTTGATTAAGACCTTGGTCATCAATTAAATGACTTCATATCGTTATGAATACGTTGAACGTGGACGCGACCGGTTCAGTCTCTTTTAAAGTGAAATGAAACAACAACCGATAAAAAGTGGAATTCACATCTGATCCAACTTCCCCTGATTCAGTTTCTCTCTTTAAAAATCCTCGTAATTAAAACAGAAAAGATAAAATGTCGTAACAGAACTATTAACACCGACTCCCCAAGTTGACTCAAAGCCGCAGCACAGACCATAAAGCAACAGATCCGAGGTCGTTTATATATATATTTGAAATATCTTAAACATGTATGGCTTTTCTCTAGAGGAGAGGAGGAACTATTTCAACCACGAATACTTCTGTTTGTGTAAAGAAGACCAAAGGATAAGGCACCAGTAGAGAGCTGTCTGTGCCTTAATGTTCTGTGACTCGAGCCGGTAATACTTCTGACTTCTCACAATTCTCCATTTTGATTTCTAATCCAATTTTCTTTTTAAAATAATAAAGGTTTCAATAGTGCTGCAACAATAGTGCTTTCCAATACTGTCTCTTGAGCCTTCATATGTTGAAATTGAATAAAAGTGCTTTGAAAGATGTGTGAACTCAGAGGTAATACTGGTTCCATCCTCAAATATTAAAGCCGAATCATCATCATCTCTCTTCCCAGTCACAGCGGGGCAATAACTGACCTGACAGATGATTCACCATTAGATGTACCACGACTGCAACGGCCTCACGTAGCCACCAGAGGGCAGACGCATCACGCAGACCTCATGACCTCAAGTGTCATTTCTCTCAAATCCAAATAATCTGAACATCACGTGCAGGACTGGATTAGAGCCCAATGACTGCGAGGGGCAGTTGCAGGATTTTGAGAAACAGTAAATCGGTCGAACAAAAACCATGCGAGTACCCGGAGCTGATTAGTGTTAGAAGCTGCTGTTTCTATTCTACAAGCTGGATCCAAACAGGTCGCTGTGAGGTCCAACACGGCTACTCGCTACTCTGCAGGACGTGTGCACCGTACAACAGTCAGTGTCGCTCCACATACAAAGAGCTTATACTCCGATCCGTTTCTTCCTCTCGTTTGAGTGCAAACGTCTACAGTTAGTGTCACAAAGCTGTGTGTGTGTGTGTGTGTGTGTGTGTGTGTGTGTGTGTGTGTGTGT